ACTCGTCAATGGGGGCACGCCAGCCTGCACTAGCTTAATACAAAACCTATCTTGCAACAAGAAAATGCTGAGGAGGGAATAGCCATCACGGCACAGCACTGTGCCTTTGATGTCATATGGATAGATGCAGTCCGCTTTGCAGAGCTTCCGTACGTTTTCCAATGCTTTGTTTTGTGAGAGTAAGCTCAGAGCGAAGTTTTTTTTTCTAAAACCTGGTGCAATGGCTTTTTCAGCTGTTCGTTTCAAAATGAAGTGCAGCAGCGGCACACGCACGTGCTTTTACCATGGTGCACTGCGGCCAGTCATCTGGGCGTGAGTGGCTGAGTTGTGTCACGGCTCTCCACCAGCTGGCTCTTTTTTGGCACGCCGCCTATCCAGTGCTGGTCTCCCCTACACATATGAATAGGAGCTTTCACAGCTTGGCACCTCTTTACTGCAGTGAAACCGCATTTACAGGGGTTACAGGCAGACAGGGTAACATGCGAAGTAACATACATCTATTCGTTCATTTCGAATATTTTGAAATTTTCAACAATATAAATTTGAATACAGTAATGTTCATTCAAATATTCAAAGCATTGTAATATTTCCACAAAGCTATTTTTCAGTAATGAAATTAAAAATTACTTTTTTGCTGTCTTTACCTTACCATACCCACATAAGGCAAGACTTAGTATCTGAGAAAATTGCCCTTGAAGACCACTATTTGAAGACAATCCACCTCATGATGAGAGAAAGCTGTTGACGTTGTCATTCAGGTGTTAGTGCAGCACAGGAAACCTGTGGTATGTAGGTACTAGTAGTTAGAGAGGCCATGCCGAGTTGAAGATGCAGCAAAATGTTTGACATTCCTTGAAAATTTAAGATTTGCAGGAAGTTTTGCAGGAAGGTTTAGCAAGTTAGATAGACTGCATTGTTTTTCACAGTCATGCAAGTGTAGTTACCTTTTTATAAGGGATTCGTTGCAATTGACTCATATTCAGTGAGGTATGCATTATGCTAGAGGTCCATGTACTGTGCAATGTTGGTGCACATTAAAGAATACCAGATGGAAAAAAAAATTGGAGGACCCTATAGCTTTGCCTTTAGGAGTTGTAACAACAGTACTGAAAGTTGGGCGAGTTGGTACTCATTCATGACTTCTTTGCGCAAACACGTACACGGACACAAGAAAAAGAGGCAAACAACACGGGCGCATTGCGCCCGTGTTGTTTGCCTCTTTTTCTTGTGTCCGTGTACGTGTTTGCGCAAAGAAGTCATGAATGTGCTTTAGGAGTTGAACGCAATAGCAACATCCTGTTCTTAGTGCGTATTTCAAACACTTAGTGCATGAAACGTTCCCGAATTTACTATGCACCCACTATACGTTGCGCAGCAGCGTGGCGCATATACACATACGTGGCGCAGCAGCGTGTGGAATAGGCGCAGTAGCATGTGGGTCTTTTATAGTTGGGTACAGACTTCAACCGCCGAGCAATTATGATAATCAGAGATTTTGACGCCCGTTGGCAATGGACGCTTGTAATATGTCATGTTGCATTGTGAAGCATGTATACAGGACCTGTGTGTTTGTGAAGCATGAAAGCTACTTTCACTGCATTTCGAAGCAGAGGAAGTTTTTTTCACTTTTTTCACAAGCAGAAGCGTGGCTGTGTGGTAGAACATCTGCTTGCCACGCAAACAACCCAGGTTCGATGCGCATTCAAATCCAAACGACCCTGGTTCCGTCTCCACTCTGCTCCAGGATTTTTTTATAATTTATTTTTTGCATCATTCTCGATTTTTCGGTCATGCATAAGATGATGATTTTTCTTTCACAGCCAATGACACGGACGTCGGAATTTCTGCGAAACAAGCTCTTTAACGCTGGCACGTTAAAATTTCAAGAGTCCAACGCTACGGCATCTCTCATCATCATATTGTGGATTTGGGACATAAAACCTCAACAATTATATTAAATGTCGTCATTGTTTCTTGTTTTCACTGCATGGCATGAATTGTGCCTATGTCTGCATCATTTTCTTACTCTGTTTTCAGCCAAAGTGTTTTTTCAGGCACTTTTTAGAGCATTTACAATGACCAACTTTTAGGATGCCTGGTCATTAGCACGGTCCTGGTAACTTCGACACCTAAACAATTCTGCCATTTATCTGTGTTGAGATATTTGAAACAATGGTCGCTGAAACCCTTTGACATCTTGTTTTTTTATTTACTTCCATAAATGCAAGTCTAAGCAGCATTATTTTAAGCCACCATCACCTCTACGTTGATTGCCTCGCAGCCTTGAACCAGTGCTCATTCAGTGCATTGATCTGCATGCAGCCATAGTCAACACAATAATATTTCAGCAGTCGAACTAGGTAACATTTAAACATAGCAGTGACGAATCTCTGGCTGAGCCTTCATAGAGTCCGAAGTATTTGCTGGCTGCCTAAGGGAGGTTGTGACACTGGCAATTGTAAATTTGGTCGAAATTGTCTATTTCTTGGTTTATTTCTTTTTCCTTAAGGAATAAATTTGAAGGGCAAAAAACAAGAACGAAAGATAAGAGTACACACGATCAGTACTCATCTCTTCAGTCCTTGTTTTTCGTGCTTCAAATTTGTTCTTTAAAGGGCCACTCACCAGGTTTGACAATTTTGAGCTGATAAGCGCAATGCGTAGACGAGGCGTTCATGATCACGTCTGCCAAAATTTGCAACGCTATGCGCTGCGGAAATGGGTCAAACTTCAAGATAAATGCTGCTTCCCCTCCCTTTTGCGGGCGCACGCCCAGAGAATGAGGGCATCATGTGCGCGTATGAATGGCCCTACGTACATGGCTATGCAGTGACGTTGGTCCTCTATGTAGACGACTCTGCTCTGACGTTGCAGACAGTGGCACGTGATATGGCGAAAATTATTTAACACGGCATGCGTAGTTTATGAAATTTGTTCCTTGAAAAGATCAATGAAACTCTAGATAAATAATGAGATGCAATAAGGTAATGTGAGCATCTTTTTTTTTCTTTTTTTTTTTTCGAGAATCGCAACGAGATGTGGGACTAGCGTGTCGGCGTTTCGCATGCGTTCGTGTCCCCGCGGTCAGCGCATCGAGCAGATGACCACTGTAGAACGCTCCTACACATTCGCGCACTCATTGTGCTCATCTATTCTACCGCGTCTAAGCCAGCGTTTCCAAACCATCCCGCAGAAACAGGCAGATGACCACAAAATAACGCTGGTCAGCAAAGCAACGCCACTAGTGTGCTCGGGGGTTGGGCTTGTTTAGGCACGTCATGTGCATGTGACTTCTTGTTCGGATGCCAGAGATGGTGGGAAAGAAAGTTGGGTTGCAAAGGCTACGCGGAGGAGCGGCAAGGGTTTCGAGCTCGCCTCCTCTCATCCTCGTTTCACGCCTCTTCAAAAAACACGTTTTCTCCGCTTGTAATGAACGGATTCAAAAATTTTTTGTGGTAAAATGTTCCTCATCAGACACCCAACAACTTCGACTGTCTAACTAAAGTTTGGTATAGGGCCTGGTGAGTGGCCCTTTAATGTCCTACAAACTCGCCCAAGCTTCCGTTCTTCTTTTTTTCTTTTGTGATTCTCCTACCTTTTACTTTGTAGTAGAATATAAAAAAAATATGCAGTACAAATTCAGGAAACAGCCCTCTATTAGCGTGCTGTTGCCAAAAGTTCTGGAAAAATTCCGGTTGTGCACCGCAAACCTTGAGGCTTTTCTTTGGCGAAGTGTTGCCTTCTTCACATAATCATAAAGAAGTCACACCAGAGCTCAGTATGACGGCAGTACTGCATTTCTCTAATGAAGAATAAAACGAGCTCCATTGTGATCTTTGTTTTCTAAGCTTTAAGCTCAATCTTTCTTGAGCTTTGTTTACTCAGTTTCATTTTGTTGTGCCGTTGCACAACAAATGATAGTAAAATCATTCAGTTTTGCACTTAGTTGCTAAAAAATTAATGCGTACTATGAGGCTGTCCCTTTTTTTTTTTGTCAATACATCATTATTTTTATCATTGCAGTTTTGCAGAGTTTGTTGGTAAGGCAATGTGTACATTTGTTAAAAGAAAAGTTTTATTCATAATGAAACAATAAAAAATAACCTAATAGCTTTATATAGCAGAATTGGCCTTTGTTTCATTAATTAGTTTAGAGTAAATAAGTTTAGGGATGTAGTGAATTAGTTTAGGGATGTAACTCGTAAACTATAACAGATAGCTGAACACCAATTTAAGCTATGTTATCAGCCTAATGAATCACATCATCATGTCAAAGTTTATCAACTTATCCTCATAAAAAATAAAAATAGTTCTCATTTTCATTTCCCACCTTGAAAGGGCTCTGCAACTCTTTTCCACGTAATCATTGAATGTATTCTATAAAACAGCTTATGGCCCCACGAATATACTTCCATAAAGATTTTTAGAATTCATAAAGTACAAGATGCCAACACACCCAACTCTAATCTCACGAAATCCCATGGAGGTGAATAATTACCAAAAATGGTTGCCCAAGCGATACCTCCTCTTGCACGGATGCTTATATACACGCAAGAATCTAGAAGCGCCATGTTTCCATTCGCATTCACGTCCTTGTGTCAGCTGATTAATTTAATGAATGATGAATGTTTGCCATCACCATGTGGGCCCAGCAAGATTCACTCAGCACTGTTGCATGGTAAGAAGTGGTGTGTAGGCACCAAAAGGCCTCGTTGCACAAACACTCCCATGGCAAAAGCATGTGGATGATAAAGCAACCATCCTGGCTGGCACAGCGATGATGTGAGCTTAGTAGGCAGTGCACTGCACACCAATAGCTTGAGATGATTGACTCCATGTAGTGGTATGTACCGTGTTTGAGTGATTCAATAATTGCACTGATGACCTTAGTGACCACAATATAAGACAAGTTTTACTGATGTCCATTTTTGTGGCTCTGAATTTCTTTAATGTATTGATATAGCATCAAGGAATTTATCTTAGTTGTTTTGTCATTGCAGACATTCAGTGATCCATCACTGCATAAGGTGCCCTTGGCCCCACCTCCAAGAAAAGCATCAAGGAACACAAGCCGACCTTCGCCATCCTCAGATGCACCACTGATTCATCTGGACTCCCAAGAGAATGAGGACGAACTTGATAACCACCAAGCACCTGCAGAGGCTAAAGGAGTTCCTGTTTTTCCCCCGCTTCCAGCACAACTAGTGCATACAACACAGCCAGCAGTACAAGCAATGCAACCAGGAATGCAGACAGTGCAGCCACTGGTATCTTCAGTACAGCCAGCAGTTCCAACAGCAGTTCCAGTGATACCACCAAGGGGGCAGACAGCTTCAACTCGGCTGCCTCTGGCAGCAAATGCTACTACTGCATTTGCCACTCAGTCATTTGCCCCATCACCTTATTCAAATCTCCAGAGACGGTTCCAAGCCGTACCTTACATGGGAGTACCTCACCCATCTTTTGCAACAAATCCATTTCTTCGGATGCCTTGGACTCCACCGGTGACTCCACCAGTGACACCGCCAGTCACATCACGTCCTCCCATGGTTCCCATTTCGCAGCCAGCACCATCTCCGGTGTTTCCCAAACAGAAGGACCCTTGTGCCGACCTCATTGATCTTTGATTGTGCTAATAATGAGGAGGCACCATTGCCATTCAAGTGCTTCAACTCTTATTATTTATTTAGGTTTAAATGACGTAGGCATAAAAACTTGTGTATATATAGTATTGGCCGCCCAGAGAAGGACTGCAGGTGAGGTAGGCACCAGCATATGGAGGTTTTAATTTTGGAGTGTCCTGCACCAATGTAGCATGATAGGCTTGTAAAGTTGTTACTCAGATTGGGCTCTCTACAGATACTAGGCAGATACTTTGTGGAGAGCTTAAAAAAAAGTTTCTTTACTTCCCTTGCTTTGTATGTACAGCCTTCATTTTAGTATAATCCTTAGAAAATTTGCCAGGTTTTCAAAGCCTTTAGTGTTGTCGCTTAGTTAACATCTGAATTTGCGATGGTAATGCCTGTAAGACTTCTGTGATAATCTGATGCAATGTTCATTGTAGAATTCACAAACATGCTTAGCACTAACGTGGGGCTTCACATATTCTTTTTAGAAAGCAGTACACACTACCTGGTAGGAGAAAAAAAAAATGCTAAAGAGCGGTTATTTACGAAATGTGTAGACAGGAAATTGCCCAAGAAAAAAAAAGAATTACTAAAGTCTTTTGTCATTGTAAATAACCCAGTGTTTATTTCAGAGCCAATCTCTAATACAAAGTAAAACTAATACACTCACACGAATGGATTTAAAAAAAAGTAACAGGCACTGTATAGAAATCCGCATACTATATTGTGCTATGGTGTCAGATATCTAGCCTAGAAAGACTTATTTCAGTACAGGCTCATTGCATATATTTTCTGGGCACTGTGTGTATTTGAAAAATATTGGGCTTACATACATGTTAGTCACAAAGGGAAGAAATGTTTTAGTGCATAATTTTCACTACGTGAAATTTGCAGGTTTCTGTTGCTCATTTAATTATATTTGTTGGTAATTCCTTCAAGACTACAAAGCTTTTTACTCGTGAGACATAAATGTGTGATTGTTCAATGCCCCTCAAAGTTTCCGAGCCTGATAGCATCAACCAGTTTAGTTGAAACAAGTGTATTTTTGTAAATTTCCTCAGTGCACCTGGGCCGTGCTCAACAAGTGTAGTGTGTTTCTTAATGCTGGTATGGTTCTTGAGAGAGAGAGAGAAATATATAAATATGAATATTAATTATGAACTTGGCCCCAGACAGGTGGAATGAACTTGGCCTTGGGCAGGTGGAAGCTGTGTGTGTGCTGTGATGATGTGCGCAGAGATCTATTGCATAGCTGAGCAATGCAAGAAGTGGCAAGGTAGAAAGTGAGCCAGAACTTTTTAATCATGTGTACCTGTTGCATCTAGGCTTTCTACAATAACGAACTGTAGCTTCAATTACTACTCCAAGCATGCAATGATTGGTGTTACCAAACTTGTCAAAGTAGAAGGCTCGCAAGCTGAGCAGAAGTGGGTAAGGGGAAAGGAGAACATCGAGGGTATCTACAGATGCAACGTTTAGGAAGTAAAATGCTTTATAGTTTGGCCTCAGTATACTGTAACCTAATTTTCTTTGTATACCCTGTGTCATTGACAAAAACTAAGGGCTTGAGTTGCAGCTTGAGGATCTTATGAGAAAGAGCTTTATTTGAAGGTGCTTACTAGTGTTGCATGTAATTTAGACCTAGTGCTAGGGTTCCCTTTTCTATACTCTGTATCATACATCAGTTGCAATGCTGTGGAAGCTATGCAAAACGTTCGGTCAGAAATATGTTACTATGCGCGTTTCGCGCTAGGGTTTCATCGTCGTAAACTCTCGTGCGATACGAGCACGAACGTGTTTGCCCAGCGTCGCGAAGGGATACAAATAAAGCATCAAGAAATAAGAACAAAAGGAAGCCGTATAATGGGGCATTTATCTCCGACGCACAAAGCACGAAGAGGAAAAAAATCATGTTGCAGATCCGAAAATCATCGTACTATTTCTTAGTGCAAACGCATTCATTGCAAGAACTGTCGCTAGCCTTCACAGCATCACACTTTACGTATGAAACGGGGTATAGCATTGTATTTGGCATTCTTGCTTGATCGGTTGATGAAATAATCTCTAGGCTCGGTATTTTGTTGTGAGAGACATGCACTCATGCTTTTTTTATTCTCAGTGCCTGCAGCCTAACACAGGCATTTGTGTTATATGCATCTTGTTGGTGTTGTAGCAGTTGTATTGCGTGTGCGCAACTGCATTCTGGCTAGTTGGGCTCAGCAATAATGCAGAACACAGTGCCATTGGGGCAGGCAGTGGAACTGCAGCCATAAAAATGGGACATGCACCACCTTGATGCACACGTCTGGTTGCCTTAGTCTAACAATGTCAAATTCATGCTCCGCACATCAAATGGGCTATTTGATCTTTATTGAAGCAACTTTGTCTTGCCTTTGAGCAGCCAGTGAGGGCTGTATCGTACTTGTTGCAACCCTTACAATTCAACAGTGTACTATCAGCAGTAAATGAAACCTAAACAGTGGCCATAATTCGAAATAATATAGTGCATGCCGTCCAGTTATCATCATGAACGTACACAGTGTTGCTAAACTAGAGGCGTACACCTGTCAATGGTGATAACTAGAGGGCGCTCGCTATACAAGTGTGAATGCTTGCTGCTGTTTGGGTTTCATTTGATGCCAATAGTAAACTGTGGCGTGACCTTGAATCATCATTTTTTTTTTCAGCTGCATCAGTGCATAATTAATATTCTACTGTCATATTAGATTTCATCTTAATGTGCCAGGCTTGCATATGTGCCAGGGTGTTGCCGTTGGGTCTCAGTTATTGCCGCAAGCTAGCATGCTCAGCCGCCAACAGCATCACAGCATCATGTCACTCACAGCATCACATGTGATGTTGCAGCTGCAGATATTGCACCCACTTTCAGTGTGCAGGCTTTGTGTGCCATCTTAGACCCAGTGGCCAACGCTCCAGTACTGTGTTATGCAGTCCACACTCTTAAGCATTTGGGTGAACTCTGGTAGCAACAGTATATGATTAAATACTTGTGAGAACTTTGTGAAGATAAGAATTTGTTAGATTTCCGAGTCAATACAACCACATTTAAAGTTTTAATGTGGAACTACTTGCTCAAGGCCACACCAGATCCTTTCAATTTGACCTTTCAAAGTGAGATAGTACTATACTGCGTGTTTCTGTATTGAATGTCTTGAATTATAAAAAATAAGGGGTTCAAGATAATTCGTGCTGTCCAATTTTCATACTGGTGGGGGGCATCGGAATGTGCACAATTATCAACATTATAATTATTTACAAGATTTTTCTGTTATCTTTGAAACTACTGACTGTCAGGAGAATCTTTGAAATGAATTGAAGTCTGTCAATAGTCACAGTCAAGGTAGAACAGTTCGCTGGAAAGTCCATACTTCTGAAAACTATTGCTAAGCACGGACTGAAATATGTAAAATCTGTTGGTGTTTCAGGAAAGTTTGCACTTCAATTTGTCACATTGTAGGAGCATATAAACTGAAAGAGAAATGTCAGATGTGATGTTTCTATACAGTTTCAGTTGGAAGATTTTTTTCTAGCACACCTGTGCTTCGAGATATCGGGCTCCAAAGTTAATCTTTTAAATGATTACACCGTCTGAACAGTCTAGTCACAAATGTTCTTAGAAAGCACAAGTTCCATCCATATCAGGTTTACGTTCATCAGGACCTAAATGACGTGGACTTTGAAGGGTAAGTTGACTGTCTCATCAAAACTGATCAAGAAAATAACCCTTTGCACAGAATAATTTGGACTGATGAAGCTCGTTTTTGCCAAAATGGAAGTGTTAATCTTCACAATGCCCATTATTGGGCACAAGAAAGCTCACACTGGTTGAGTGTGAGCATCACGTTCGCTGGAGTGTGAATGTGTTGGGCGGCAATGCACATTTTAAGTACTTTTCCAACTCGGAAGATGTGCCAAGACGGGGAGTTTTTAAAAGAAGGTTAGGGTTTGAGGACACTTTAAAAATACTAATTATCTTTAAAAACACTTTTACTTTTGTTTTTTTAAGCCGGCATAAGAGATTTTGCAACTGCAGGCACTCCTGTACCTGTCATAAATTGAACCTTGCTTGCACCTTGTGCTGTTCAAATATTTCAGGGTACAGTAAAAAATGACAAATGTCAATTTTTATATTTGTTGGTTTCCTTTTATTTTTCACCGTAGTTATGTGTAATTACTTTTTTGCCCACATAATATTATGCTTAAAGTTATCTTCAATGGTATCATCCGGCAAAACATTCCTGATTGAATGGCCTGATTTGGCGATAGCCAAATTTCGTAAAAGACATATACGTGAGCTTGCCAATCATCAGGTGGGGCTTCTTTGATGCTGTCTGCCACTTCAATAGCACAAACTATGTAACTTAAGCTACCTTGCAGTTAATTGGGATTTAACATGATTTGTTCACTGTTAAAGCTTGCTGTATGAAAGATCAATCTTGTCTCATTAAGGATTGTTGCCAATGTTCTAATGGATCTAAGCAAAGGCAGAGCAACAAAAAAAAAAAAAACCTGGTAAAAAGGACAATTTTGCTACAAGTCTGAAGCATATGTCTTCTGGCACATTGCTAAAATGTGTGCATTGCAACTTATCTTCATTGTATTAATTAAAACTCCAAATTGTTTATTATTGTATTTCACCAATATCAATGAAACTCCAAAAAGATTTTCTTATTAAACATTGCAAGCTGGTTTATTACACATCTGAGTATATAATGAACTTGTATTATTGAATGCTGCTGATAATTTTATTGCAATCTGTTATTGTGGAATGTAGGTTTCGATATGGCCAATTTGCCCTTCTGCAGTGGTCTGATGGCTAAGGTACTCGGCTGCTGACCTGCAGGTCGTAGGATCAGATCTTGGCTGTGGCGGCTGCATTTTCGATGGAGGCGAAAAGGCTGTAGGCCTGTTTGCTCAGATTTAGGTGCACGTCAAAGAGCCCCAGGTGGTCGAAATTTCTGGAGCCCTCCCCCAGGGCCTCTCATAATCATATGGTGGTTCTGGAACGCTAAACCCCACATTTCATCATTAATCTAAATGGCCAATTTTTTTTCTAGTTTTTGATGGATAATTATGTTTTAAATGTGTATTGCGCATTTAATATTCTAGTTCAATGCACAACTCATAGGTAACACAGTGTGAAATACAAAAGCTTTGTGGCGTACAGCACTGAGTTTTGAAGATAGATTGTTGAAAAAATGTGGCACTTTTCAAAGATTACATTCCATTGAAAAATTTTTAGACCTTGTCTACCCCACCAATAACGATAACCCCGTAATATCTTTCATAACAAGAGAAATTACTGTCTTCTTTCTTTTTTCTTTAAAATAAACATTTATGTCTCCATCTTAATATAAAAGTTAATTGTATTGAGGATGCTTTCTTAATCGTAAATCATATTGGCAATCATAAGGTAAATGCAGATGTCTGCTGCTGCATGAAAATGTGCCAAGTAAGAAAAATGTGAATTTGTATCAACTCCTATATTTTAAATAAATAACCTGAGATAGCCTGTAGAAGCATGCATGTACTCTGTAAATATTTATGAAAGGGAACCTGCGAGCGAGAGGCCTGCGTGCTCTGGCGGCTGCTAGCAGAGCATATAAGTGGGAGCGAAAGTAACCACAGCCTGTTTTCGCGTCATATGGTGATGAGTTAAATAACCAGTCATTCGTGATATGAAACTGGCAGCAAGGGCTGGCCTCTTGCGTATTCGCCTTGAAGGGGGAGTGGGTTGCAATCGTGCTGCTGGTTTGATACCACCAATGACCAGTTGTTTCGTTGGCCACTAGGCGATGCAAAAAGGCCTGTAATTGCTTTTGCTTCTACTTGAATGCTCTGCAAGCAGCCACCGGAGCATGCAGGCCACGCGCTCACGTGTTGCCTTTCATAAAAATTGACGGTGTACATACCTAGTAAAAGTTGTGCAGTTACCTCATTAAGCTTTCACTTGTAAGCTAGATCACAAGGCCAGTCATGGTGTTGGAACAAAATAACAAGCATCTGTCTTGTGGGGTGAATGGGTGGTAGCAGGTTTGCACTAGAGTTGTCTTGTAGCCGTGGATAAGCTGCCAAAAATATATAAACATTCTTTAGATTTGTCTCAACACATATGGAAACATGTTGATGAAATAGCTTAAGTTAATGAGTATTTTCATGGAAAGGGGTTCTTTGCTGTTCTGATGAGTTAAATCCTGGTCGCCCCTTTCACCGTTTCTTGCTTGTGAATAGAATAACATAGGCGTTAAGTGGCATGGTAAGAACGGCATAAAAGGATATTAAAGAGAAAATTCAGAATGAGTTCACTTGTGTCAGTACACTGCCCTTCCACAATACCACAAACAATATTCTTACTGCTTGAAGACACTTGGCAAGTCAGAGAAGATTCAAAAAGGAAAGGCTGGTGGTGATTCTGTCTTCAACAAACCCACCACATCATGGGTTTTAAAGTCATGTACAAAGGCCTTGATAATTTTTTTTTATAAGAAGGCAGGGGTTGGTAAAAGTGGACTTCATTGTGTACTAAAGGCGCCAACAAAGCTAAAGTTTTGGGAACTTTAAATTTATTGAGCTAAGATAACCCTAATGCAAAAAAGAAAAGTGATTTGAAATTCATGATTATACACTTAAGCACTGATATACATACAATCATTGACCAATTGTATCAACAAAATAACTGACAATAGAGTATCGGGGAATGCTTCATATATACAAACTAGTTTCAGTGTTTTTCTTTAGTGTCCCCTTAAGTTGGCAGAGCTAGGCTTTAGACAGAAACAGATACACACTCTAGAATGGCACTGCATCAACAAAGTGTTTTAAAGTTGTATCGATGAAAATATTCTGAATGGCAAAATTTTAAAACTTTTCAAGGCGTGACCTCTGAAGTCAAGCTTGTGTTTTTCTTTAGTGAAGTGGACTTGTTTAGGATGGCTGCTTATGGTTCTGGAAGTGTGTGCTAGGAAAGTTTTAGTTATTTGCTGTCAAGTCTGAGCATGTTCTTCCGTGGTTGCAATGAGACACTGAGTGAGAAATGTGGGTGAGACAGCTGTGTATGCTTGTTTCACAAATACTGAAGAATCTGTAGATTTTTTCTGCTCATTTTCTCCGGCCAACCAGCCCAACTTGCTGTGAATTTGTGCATGTGTCTTACAGGGGCTGTTGCACCAAACATTTTCATCATGTATAGCTCAACTTGACATGTGCCAAGCAAAGGTTGTAATAGGTGTGGTAGAATGTGGCTGGTGGATACTTGAGTAAGTTGGCTTTCAAGAAGTATGTCAGACATGTAGTAAACAGTACAAAGCAAAAAGCTTGCCAGTGTTGCCATCTGCAGGATAGCTGTGCGCTTAACTGTAATGTATTAATTAACATTGTGGGTTCTATATGCAGCATGTTTGAACCTTGAACAGCTTTCTTTCTGCAAATTATTATAAGGTATAACAATTATTTGTATGCTTTATGTGCATCATAGGCAAGCACAGCACTCACAGTCGACACTGAGCATATGTCGATAAAATATACATGTATACCATTTTGTAAGTCACATAATCCATAATCTGATTCTCGCACGTTAATGTTGTTTTTTATTGCAAAAACCCTTGTGAGGTAGTTGTAGTTGGAAATATTAAATGATAAGGAGGTGAAAGGGGCCACTGATGTGTAGTAATTTGTACACTGCTCTTTTTGCACATGATAGTTACAGGCACATTGCAGTGATGGAAGTGTTGCTCCAATTGCTCCAAACTGCTCCAAAAGAGAAATGCTATACCAAAGTGCAATATTGCCACTCATAGTAACTACTCCAAACCTGCTTCAAAAGAATGTTGGCAAACTAAAAAGAATGCAGTTGAACTATGGGACCATCCCTTGAGCCTAAGCAAAACCAAAAACAAGCTGTATACACTATCATACTTGTATGCTACTCAGTGTTGCGAATCCAGAAAAATCTCAAGGGTGTCACCGGGTGACACATGTCAGGCCATGGTGTCCAATTCATATTATTAATTTGGGTTGTATTTTTATTTATATAGGAGATAAATCATGCTTTCAAATAAAATTTAAAAAAAACGAGCATGGGGTTTGAGTTTGAGCAATTGAATTGTTTTATTCAGTCTATTTTGTTCACCTTTTTTCGATTTTCACAGTTCACACGGCTGAGGGGCATTTACCACAGGTAATAAAAAGCCTTTTAAAAAGTTGATTGTGGTATACTCAATTGTTAACTTAGTTATATAACGTGCTAAAGCTAAATCTCAAGTGAGACACTTGCAAGAGGTGCGCTCCGCAGCCTCAACACCAGAAAAGTCCGGACTTTCTTCACCCCCTCCCCCATGATTTACGCCAACTACACTATCTTGTACTAGTTTGTACTTGCTGCATACTAGTGCAAGGCATGTTTAATTATAAATGTAAGTATTTATTAGATCCTTAAGTGAAGTTTTAGACTGCAGGATTCGTTAGAAACATGCATCTGTTCCAAAAACACCAATAGCAATCCTAAGCTATAGCATTTTTTTCTGCTCCGAAGACACTTAAAGCTGCTCCAAAGCACCATTTTTTCTGCTGCAGAGTCTGCTCCGAAAAGCAAAATGTCGCTTCCATCACTGATGTTGTCATGAAATATT